TCAGGACTCCCACTAAAATTGATATGCCTACTATTAACTTGACGAAAGGTGACGATTTGATGCGTCACTTCCCGCTGTCAATCAAGTTGCCTTTTTTGTTTCAGACGGAGGGGAAGGGTCATAAGATGTGCTCGATTAAAACACCAAAAATATACGGTTGTTACACTGTCCCGTCTAATTTGGAAACCCAGTCGATATTCACTCGCCAAACTGTTTCCACATCGACCAAATTTCTGCTTCGGGTATTTCATACCTCAAACTGACGCTGTCTATTAAGATGAAGAGCACGGCCAGGTGTAAATAGCCCCAACGGTCATGCACGTCTCACCTGAAAGTCATCTGCTTCCCAAGGGTCAAAGTACACCTACCAGCTTGTTCGCTTGTTCTAATTTTAGCCCACATCTGTTGACTTTGGCCCAAATCATAGGCACGTAATCGTTTTTCTCCTCTAGTTCTGAGTCATTTCAGATATGAATGGGACGTGATTCAGGCTTTATTCAAGAGTCACAAGAATGCATAACGACCTTACAATTCCCAATTCTAAAATTAAATTCTGACGACCATCGGCACAGAGTTTTCGCGAATTTTTAAAATTATACAGGACCAAAGTGAACAGGTGGTGAGAAGATAGATCCAATCAGTCTGCCGATGGACAAGAGTAACTTCTACAGAGACATGAGAAGCTTGCCGTTTTGAATCTCTATTTCCATTGTCCATCCATGCTCCGAGGTTGTTTTGTACCAACTCCTTTGACTCATCTTCTTTATGAACCCCATTGGATCTGACCCGTATTCAGTGGAAGTCCCAAGCTTTCATTTATTCCCCCAGACTTCTCCAAATCGATCTCGTGGAGCGTTCCCAGAGTGCTAGTGTACTTTAAATGCACTCGGTTCATTCCAGTTTGAGTTTCCGAATTCGACAACGAGTCCAGTCTCACATCGAGGGAAAACGTCACGGTCTCCGTTCGCACGTTCGTCCTATTTGTAGTCTGCAAACTTGCACGTGAACGTCACCCTTTGCACCGATAAGCTTCCATTCAACCTTGCTGACGAAACTACTTCCCACTGAAGGAGACTATTCTTAGAACGGCGATTCTTATCCAAACGGTCCCAGCTAGGCCGTTTGTGATAAGTTTGAAAGTTGGTCTCCGATGTGCTGATCCTGGTCAAAGATTACTTGAGTATGCTCCCACTTGATGTCTGCCCAAATTCAACTAATTCATTTTGATAATTGCAAGACAAAAGCAACTGTACAGATGAATAGCGCTAAGCTGTCGATTCCCTGGGAGGTGTAACCCAAATAGGAGACGACTTCTTCTGATCTCAACTGCATGGAAGCCCTCGAAAATGAATGAGGTAGCCCCGTTCGTAGGATTGAAGATAATCGGTAGAGCGCTTTGGTTCTTTCTGCGTCAAAACGAGCCCTGTATGACAACAAAAGCATTCGTGACTGGAATACTATTGACGTTCATCGCAGGAACTTCATCACTCCATGTACATAGATGTGTTTTTGCATACGGATGTTTTTTAGTCGCTATTTTGACTGTCGGATTGATGAAAATGAAAGGACATCCCTGTCAATTCAGTCGTTCTTTTTGAAGATTTGAACGGCTGTTTAAAAGTTGTAGAATAACTTTTGAAAATGGCCTGGGCGTTTTCAGAGAGCCACAGAATATTCCCAAGGGTTTGAAGAGGTTGCAACGCACAGTGCGTCTCTCCTTGACCGATCACATCCCAGTAGGTAACATTTGAGAGCGTATACGAAAGTAGCTTATGGTCCCTCTTCATTTTGTGAGTTCACTCCCACGTTGGATCACGGGTTCCCAAGGTTGGGTCTGGGTGCCCTTAGGTGGATTCCCTCATGCATGTCCACTTAGACGGCCAGATCTTGGAATTCGTAGATGGTATAAGGGATAAGTCACAAATATAGCGCAACGAGTACTAAGTCAAGTTTATATTTCCAGTGCCTGAAAGCCTACAAATCTACAGATTTATTTACTTATATTTATCCTGTGGTAACTGAACTGCAACTAAATCCGAAATGATGCAATGGAGAGATGTTTCGTTTCAATTTTTCCTTCTTGCCCTTCTTACTTACCTCTATGCTCATTTCCTGAGATTGAATTCTTATCCCATTCTTCTATCCCATTCTTCTACATAATTCAGCCCTCTCCGTCCTATTTGTTAGTGGAGGCCATTGTATGAGTAATTGAATTTTTCAGTTAGAAGGCTCCCTTACAATATCAATTCATCATACAAGCGCACCCCTCACTCCATTTGGATTCCGAAATGTTTACCGTGATTTTTGAACCATGAAGAAAACCAGACACACTAAGCACCCGAGCGCCTCGGTGGAGATGGGCGTGGCCGTGACGGGTTGGTGTAGATAAAAGAGGCGGTCCCATGTCGGTGTTCCTCTTCAGTCGAGAGGTTGTACTGGGAACGTGAGGCGCATCTGTGCCCTGTGTGTCCCTCATTATCGCATCAAACAAAGACCTTTTCACGTAAAAGTGCTTTTCTAAGCAAACGACTACTTTTTATTACTTTTTGTGCTTGACAGTTGGCTCCTTCGAGGTTATCATGAGCTTATCTGCCACTTGATCTAAGAATTCCTTTCGAGTTTTTACTTTTCACAATGGCCATATCAGATAAGGTGATTGGCAGAGGACTTTTCTCCCTCGTAATACGTCGATCACTTCAGGCGTTTCTTTGCCGTTAGTTTTCGTCTCTATTGTTTACGAGCAGTACGTTAACACTCTCAAAGGTTTGTTGACAGCCTTATAATTACCTGCAGATTCTTCCTTTCTTTCATGTCGAGTAGTCAGTATGACTTTTATAGTTAAGTGATCTACTTTGGCAAAGGAGATGTCCCGGGAGTTGGTCGAATGTGGGCATAAGTGTCCCCCACATTGGCGAAAATGGTACTCCTGAGATTGTCAGAATCCGGAACCTCTTTCCAGTCGTTTCCATTTCGCTGTCGGGTGCCCAAGCTGACGTGGAACCCTTCAGTTCGCTCTCTGTGAAAGTGCACTTTGTGTTCGTTCGTGTTTCAAGACAGGCGGAGTCTGCTGCAGGGTTGGCCAGGCTCACAGCAGTGCAATTTCCCCATCCCCAGTGCCACAGACACAGAAAAAACTTATGTCCTATTGACTACTCTGTCCTATCTCTCAAAGAACTCGTCCGTCTCTCATTTGCCGTTCTTCGAAAATTACCCATTGACTTTGATTAATGATGATCATTTGTACCAAAATACGCACCACTTTGTTCCCATTATGGATCACTTCCTCCAAGACCAAATGTCAAAAATATTTTCACTCATTTCTCCTTTTTGATGAAGTATTGAACTGAAATAGCTCGAGCCCTCGAATTTCAATGGTGTTTTTCATACGGCATTCACTCCCGTATGGGACGACATCATCTGAAGTCATCCTGGGCGAATAACAAACCATGACGTTTCCGGACGAACGAAAGTCATTTCGCTTGAGTGTGAAAATCCTAAGCAACGTTTGAAGCACTGATCGAATCCTAAGAGGCTTTGCTTCGAAAGGATTCTCATGTGGGTGAGGGATTGGGATTAGTCTGACTGAGCAGGAGCATGGCCTCGGATTAAGCGGATCACATTGTTCTCAAACGTCGTGTTCCTGATGCGGATCACATTGTTCTCAAACGTCGTGTTCCTGATTATTCCCCCAAGAAGCCTGGTACTGGGGTATTCCTTTTCCAAGGAAGCTCGCTTTGTGATAATCGAGGGATTTCGGGATTAGCCCGTGTAGGAAGGAATTCTGAGTGGGTGAGTACCAAAACAAATGAGATTCTAGAGCGAAGATCCTCTCAATGATTTTCAACCCACGTCCCCGTGTTTCCGCTACACTGAAGTTCCTCGGAAATTGCCAGCATTCAAACTATTTGATCCCGTCTATGATAATCCCAGGTGGGCGGACATACAGTAAGAGGATCTTATTTATCGAAATCATTTTTTCGTTAGAAAACCTTTCAAGGTGATTACTTTGCAAGCCACCCAAGACATACTGGATTTGAAGATTACTTATCTCCCCAAACACCTTCACCCACTTACCATTTAGCTGAAGATGGCGGTTACTTATCATTGATGAAAGTAAAATTTTCAAGAAAACAACGTTTCAGTTCATCGGCGAAATTAGGCCCCAAGAAGATTCACTCACTAGAACGCTTAGATGTCTCGAACCACCAAGAGACAGTCGGGTTCTAAAATGAATCCTGATTGGGAGCGTGACTGAAGTTCTCTTAAACCCTCCGAATAGAATCCCCTTGCCGAAGGTTGTGAAGCAATGACCTTTTCGTAGACGTTATGGGACGGATTCTGTCCCAAACAGGTTTTTTCCCCACCGTTGGGCATTTTTTCCAGTGAGGGCGTGAATGTCTTATGAAATCGTCTCGTCGTGAAGTAAGCTGTGTTTACAGTTGAAAGCTGTTTCGTAATCAAAAAAAAAACCATATGTCTGCTAGTGGTTTGTGGTCATTTCACGGAAAAGGACACTCTGGGAGGATCTGTGGGTTTCACAATCGGGTACTGGGTGAACGCGTTGAACGCCATCTGGGTACATCGTGTTCCAGCTCTCGAATACTTACATTTAGTGCTGCTTGTCGATGTGTTTTTTCCTCGTCCTCGTCTACGCGCTCTCACACTCTTCCCATCTCTTCGCCATCTGAATGCGTCTGGTGAAGTCGTCAACATCAGGCAAACGGCCACACTGCTCCGCCCCATTGCCTACAGGCATTGCTATGACATCGGCGTCGCCGACACGTGAGCTGTGGATAGCTAAGTGAATCTGCGAAACTTGTCTGGGCATCCAACATCCACCCATTACCTCCCTATCTTGTTCTTGAGTCTCATATGGGCGATGTTATTTCGTGTTCCCTCAGTAGTCTGCGATAGGTTCTGCGTGATGAGTTTGATCGCGTTTTTCTTCGTTCCCCACAACCTCCATCTGGCAGAGTTCATATCAACTTTTTTTTCAGAATATGTTCATCATCCAGTCAAACCAGCCCAATTACTGTGGCCACACATTCGCTTCGAGTTCCTGTCACACCGAATACGATGGCAAGGTAACTTTCGCTCCTACTGGTGTGTGGCCTCCAGCAAGAGAAATGAATTGAAGCGCTTCCTTCCAGGTGGAAGCCGCGCTTCAGACCAAAACTGCCCTAGGAGGCTTGTCAAGAGGACTCCGTCGCACCGGTAGCAATCTATCCGAACTTTCTTTGAGTGCCATTTGCGACTCAGACGCCACTCAGGTTCGTTGTGGGAATTCCCTTGTTTAGTTGCTTTCAACGTATTTCCTTGTTGCTAGAATGGCAGTCACAGACGTTGTTTACCGAACGAGCTATGTTGTTCGTTAGGCGGAACTGACGCGAGCTCTCGTCTCTCGTCTAGCTTCACATTCTGTTTGACAACATAGAGTTTTACTCGGGATTCTAGGCTACTAATTGAGAGCTCACGTCAGTTTTGAACCAATTAGACGTTCTGTATCCAACCTATTTGGTAGTTATATCTAGACTGTCGGGGATGGAACGGAACAGCAGCTTCGTGTTAGGCAGGCTTCCCTCCAAATAGAACTTCTATTAGAGTAAATGTATTTGAATTAAATTTGTTTAGGTCGAGCTGAACTTCGATGTAAAATGCAGCCAGCACCTTTTTGTTCGTGCGGAAACACCATGCGGTGAGCTCGGCATGTTGGAGTTCACAGGCAACGATGTCGAGCAAGTGTTTCGCCCAATGCAACACGGTTGTGGAAATGGTGTTTGGAAAATCGAAGTAATCGATGAGAGGTTGGTTACGTTCTTAGAGATTTCACTTACTTTTGTGTATGGGAGAGTGTAGGTGGGTGTGTGACCGACTGGTTCTACCGGTCGAACGATGTGAACGGCTTTCTCTGCACAAAATAGAATCAGAACCTGAATGCTTACTGGGAACAACGAACCAGCCGCTCAACGGTTGTTGGAGAGAGGGGGAAGTTCGTTCGGGGCTTTCAGCATCAATGATTGCTGAGGAAGTAGTGGACTAATGTCAACGAGCTTTTGATGCAGAACAATTGACCAGCGACCAGACATCGGCTGGTCCTCGCATCGCAGCTGAGCATAAGTCTCGTGTTGATAATGCCGTATGGCTAGCCTGCAGCTGAATAACTTCACCCTTCCTAGACCATAAATCATGCAAACATGGAAGAATGAGAATCACCCGGTCCTCACAGATGGTCTTGGCGCTCGTGCCACTGCAAAATTTGTTTTATAAACTTTTCATTGAGAAACCTACAATCTCCACTTTTACTTGACACTTGTGAAAATTCGAAACAAGAACTTTCCTCGATTTGCGAGGGAACTGAAGATAATGGTCTATAGTTTGATAGATGTGTAGTTTAGTCCCTTGGCGTTCTGCCAAGTGAGCAGTAGTGAGCCAAAATCCACGAGTAACTCAATACTCCACCTTATCTTAGCTGTTTACCTCTACTGCTTGATTGTCCATAGATTACTGGCGTATCGGACCAGCAATTGTTGGGATGTGGGAATGGGTAGGGTGTGATTCTTTCGGAATAAGCTAACCTACTCACTCTTAATTATTCTACATCTAAGCTCATCTCTCAGCTAGTCGTTGTGCTGCGGGAGAAGCCATCTACATGGTAGTTGGTCACATGAAAGTCACAGACCCTGCGCCTGCAAATCACTGAGAGGGGGTGTTGGGAAGAAGGTAATTAACGGCTTCTCGGCATTCTGTTGATACGTGATTTCTCTGTTATAATGACACTTCCAGATATAGTTTTCTTTTCAAGAACTGCTGATAATGGGTTTGACTGATTGTCACCTCATAAACATAAATGATAACACGTAGGAGCCACCCTCAGCCCGGCAGACTTTGCCCTCATTGGAGTTTGTAATATCAAATGAATTCCAGAATTAAAACGCAGCCCAATCTTCATGATTGGAGCAATTGCATTCCAAAATAGGGGCCTGGCCTTCATTGAGACGTCTGCTGAAGCATTTGGGTCCATAGGCCGGGGAAATCTATGTTGTGCTGGCTTGAGATCTCATGCACTCAATTGGAAGAGATTGTGTCCTCCCTATTGTGGGAGAAATTTCTGGGGATGCTCGAGCTACGATGATTTCTCTGAGACTACCAAACTTATCACGAGTATTAAGCTTTACTTATCAACTTGATAGTCAATTCTTAACCGATAAAGTAGAAGAATATGGGATAACGGGCGATAAAAGGTATTAGCAAATGATCATTGTTTCATGTTGCTTGCAATTGGGGCCTGGGTAGTACTTGCTCAATACACTTCATGCTTGTCCCCGATTTCCTGGACTTTAAGGGTGCTCTCATGGGAAACGGGAGTTTTGGGAGATTGTGATGGGATTTCGGTCCGATCTATGTTGTCTGAAGTATAATTTCTCTGCAGTACATCTATTAACGTCCCGTAATTCGAGTATTTTTCAGTGAAACCGTGCTCTCTACGCTCTCAATGCCCATCAACGGTGTCGGCATACTATACTTTGAGATTGGCGACGATATGTGTCCATCACTAGTCGGCAAGGAATTCCTCTACAAGAGCGGTGCTTGCCGTAAACACCGTGTTTGATCATCGTTCCACCTGTTTGTAAAGGATTTCTTCGCATAGTAAGCAGTTATCATAAGTTAATTCTTTTGCACAAACTTCCAATCACTTTCTTCAATGAATGGGTTGCGCAACGGCATCGCTCGCTTGCAATCCCTAGTATAGGGCTCTCCGTTTTGTTTGTGTATTGATTTTTATTATTGATTTTTCTTCAGTCGTCATCATACCATATTTCACGGGATCATACGCGCGCTTCAAAAAAACGTCTTTTAATGATTTCTTGTAATATTTCGCTTCTTAAAGTTGTCTATATTCTATTGTATCGGGTACCAACGCGCGTTCTTCCAGCTTATATGAAGATCATATAGCAGTGAGGACTCTGTCCTATGGGAATCACACGGGTTTGCACAGGATCTTCTCGTTCTTCTCTATAGGTTGTAAATGTGGGTTTCGTTCAAAAGTGTTGTGAGTACCGAATCGGATCGCATCACTCTAAACTGCCACCCCCCATAGCTGCTATAATATGCTTGCCCTACTGTAATAATTACAGTATGCAAGTCTTTCGTTGATCTCTTTCTTCTGAGCGCGGGTAGCGACTTACCCAGCTGCCTGCCTTCCCCCGTACACCTTTTGGAAGAGCTCGTTTCTGTATTGCGACGATTTGCCAGGGGCAGAGTCCTTGCTATTAAGTGAAGCTCTCCGTCCCCTACTCTTTCATAACGTACTTCAGCTCTTCGTTACTTTTTTGTTACTAATTGATGTACTGATTGTTCTATCAGTATGATGTACATGATTTTTCTTTTATTTCGTTGAGCATATTATAATTAAGGTTATACTTTTATAGAATACGTTCACTACAGCAAGATATTTGCACCTTATGATTAGTTTTGTAGGCTATGTCTTCATTGTATAATGCCTTTATTGTTGGCATATTTTATTTTCTCAAAATAAATATTACAAAATGAACGCTGAAGCTCAAGCGAATGCAGGCTGGCCGGTGAAGTGGATGTATGTATTCCTGAAGAAAACGTCCACGAGACTACGGATAGACGCGACATTCGACATTCTATAAAGCTCGGCACAGTTACTGTACAACATAATTCAGCGATATACGAGTTTGAAAATAATTCCGTCGTCTTAAATCTTAGTGATTTCGCTTGCTCCGGAATCCAAATAGGTGAAAAACAATGAGAACCAATTTACGATTCAACCGACTAAGGTCTTCTCCCTATGAGATCTCGAGAGCAATGAAGCTA